CGCGCCGCACTCTCCCTCCCCAGGCCGCCAGCCGAGCGCCGCTCCCCGCCGCCGCCGCCATCTTTGCGGAAGCGCCGCAGCGCAGCGCCCCGCCCCGCACTCCCCTCACCCTACGCCTCCGACCTGACGACTCCCGCGAGGACGCCGCTCTCGCGAGATCCGGGCGGCCTCAGTTCTGCCTCGCGGGCGTGCGACCTGCGTGCAGCTGCTGAGGCGACGCTGTGAGCCGCGGGAGGTGACCCTCGGTTCAGGCGGCGTCTTCTACGACGTTGGGGATGGGATAACTGGAAAAGTGTCAAAACAACTCAAAACAGGCTCTTTCTATTCAAGACAAGAGAGTGCCCCTATTGTGTAGGAGGGCCCCACCTTTTCCATGAGGGGAAGTGTGTCATCCTATCGGTCGCCAAGGGGCAGTCCGGTGTGTGGGGGTCACTATGGCGCTGGAGAGGAAAGCGCCGGCGTTGTGGCATGGCACTGCTGACAACAAAGTGTGTTAACTGTGATAAATTGAGTAACTTGCCTTCCCGATGGGCTTGGTCTTAAGAGTAGGATCCCATCCCGGAGGGGTCGGGATGTGGAACTGAAAAGTTCTGCATCTCCCGCGACACTAGATTTGCTCTACACCCCACAAGCCTGCCTGTATCAAGGACTTCCTAACAAAGCAGTATTTGTACCGTGCTATTCAGAAATCTACAGAAGATGCAGATACCTTCTTGATGAGAAATGGTTTAGCTGAGGCAGACGACTTGGCTTTGTTTCGTAGCCTCTGATCTTTCGTTCTTCGGTGTTCACTTTTCCTGAGTAAATTCATTTGATAAACTCTCTTCAGCCTCTGAAATGTCCCCAGCTAGTTGAAGCTTTACTTGGACATGCAGTAACTTGGAGCCACAGTCAAAGGTGCCGAGGCCCCTCATCATACATAATCACTGCCATCTTGAGGTTTTTAAAAAGAACCCCCCTCCCCCCCAAAACCAAAAAACAACCGTCATACTAAATCTAATCACTTAATGGGAGTTCCTTGGGTCATTTTATTACGATCCACCTTTAGTTCTTGCTTCCCTTTCCTTAGCCACCTTTTGTGTAAATTAATCTGTAGTCAGAGCTTCCTCCCTTTTCCTCAGCTGCTGAAACCACTTTTAATGCATCTTCCCAGGCAGGAAGTAAATAGATGAGACTCTCTGTGCATAGACTTGTGAGCCAGATCTCAAGGTTTGAATTCTGGCCCTTCTAGGATGATCACTGTGATTTGGGGCAAGTTATTTAATCTCTTTGAGTCTCAATTTTCTCATCTGTGAACAGCTTTCTTATGGTTTGAGATATGATCACTGTGATTTGGGGTGAGGTATTTAATCTCTCTGAGTCTCAATTTTCTCATCTGTAAACAACCGTGTCCCAGTTTGGGATGAAGGGATTAAATGAGACATTTTATGTGAAATGACTAGCCAAATGCCTGGCACACGGTAAGCTCATGACAGATGTATTTACCTTGTAGATTTGGTTTACTCCTGTCCTGTGATCACAAATGAGCCTGACGGAATGTCCATGATTTCAGATCACTAGCTCATCTTAACCTGAGATTTTCTTGCTGTTTTGCATCTAGCCTGACCTGGTAAACCTCTGGTTTGTTTTTCACCTCTTGCTAACTCTGGTAGCTCTTGGCATATATCCTGTTTTTCTGGATTACTGACATCTAGCTTGTTTCTGTTCCCTGGTGATTAAGGGATTTCTAGAATGTGTTTGAACACCCTGAACATCTTACCTTGTAGCTTATTCGTGATTTCCAGAAACCATAGTCTCTACTTGTCTGCTTCAAACTGCCTAATTCACACAGTTTCTCTACCCATTTAATGAAGCTCAGCATCTGTTACTCAGTCATGGCCTCAATCCCAAGATAGGTACCTATTCCTATTAAAGCATTTGGCATATTTTAAATCATTTTTCTCACAGTTTGACATTCTTGTGGTTGAGGATATCTTATTTTTCTCTGTTTCTCCAGTACCCAGCACAACGCCTAGCACATATTAGATATTCAATTAATGAGTATGTAAGTGGATAAATAAATGGAACAAATGAAGCATTGGGGTGCCTATTTCCATGCTTTGGGTATCAAACATACAGAAATATATTATTCTTTTGGTGTAATTTATTTCTCAGGACAAAAGCCTCATTCACTTTTTTTTTTTTTTTTGCATTATGTGCCCAGACCTTTAGAACCCTCACTCAGGATTTAATGTATTCAAACTTTTCTTTTGCAGAGGAAACAAATCCTTAGAATAGAACCAATCTCTAGTCAACTAACCATTCTAAGTATGAAATCTTCCCGGGCGGTTGCTAACATTTATTTAAGCGTGTTGAGTATATTGGTCTTTTTGGGCTCCAGCTTTGTTCATTTCTTCATCATCAGCTATAGAGAAAGTCCTGGGCTGGGATGTATCTTCAACCATGCAATTTATAAAACAATCCCCAAATAAGAAGCTGCTTCTAAGCCAAAAGATTGATGTTGTTTTAAATGGTAATTAGAGAAAACCAGAATGGAAATACCTATCAGTTTCAAAATATCATTCTTAATTTACTTACTCTGTGCTCTTTTTTCTGAAGGAGGGACAAAAGTGATATGGCAGAAAAACTGCCCTCGGGGAGCTTTATTTTCACTGGAGAGACTAAGTCTGAATTTCAAAACAACGCAAGATGGTCTTTAACTATTGTACTGTACAGAGGGGGAAGAGTGTGGTGGGCTGCAACAGTTGGAAAAGCATCTAGGGAAGAGAGCATACTTGATCTGGAACTTGGTGTGAGCTGAGGCAGGCCCTTCAAGACTCGAGGAGTGCTGGGCTGAGAGCCTGGGGAGGGCCAGATCCAGCGTGTGTTTACAAGGCATGGAGCAGAAGGGCTGGTTGGGGGCTGACCTGGAGTGTCTTGGGGGCCAGAGGGGGGCTGTGCAATGACTTTCACAGTATATGGAACAGTTGTCAGCCCCCTTGGCCCTCTGTACATTTGCCCTTAGGGTATTTGCTCCCCTTTTCCGGCATCTCCCCCTCGCCACCTCCATCCTCATGGCTGATCTCTTCTTCTGAATCTCAGACACTCTGCCCCAGTGTCTGTCTCCTGCCTGCTCAGGCTTTATCCTGGCCTTTCTCACCCACTATCCATGGCCTTTTCTAAATTATCTTCCTTTTTACTGATAACCAAAACTTTGATTCCTTTTGGGTTGCTGGTTTTGAAAAAAAAGGCCAACTAGTTTTTCATACTGAAGACGTATTCCCTATTGTATTTCCATTTTCAAAGAAGTTATTAACTGAAATGCATCTTTGGTGATAGCATGTGTGGGGGAGGTAAACAAAAATCACTACATGATTCTGAAAGATTGTTTACGGTTATATTACAGAAGAATGAGGCTGTCTGGGTAGCTTACTTGGGAGTACGTGGTATTGGTAACACCAAGATCACAGGTTTGGATCCCTGAGCCGGCCAGCAGTCAAAAAAAGAAGAAAAAAATTACAGAATAATGTGCATTATGATTGATTATCTTAGGTGGAGGAGAAAAAATACGGGGGAGGTCTCAAAAGATAAGTTAAAGAGGATGGACTCAATCCTATAGAAATGGAGTAAAGGGCATAAGAATGGACATTATAAAGAACCATTGCTCGGAATAGACAGAATTTGAACTATAGTTATGGTGGATAATTGTGTAGCAGAGGGTATGACTCACTCTCAGAGGCCCTAGATGAGTCAAAAGAATTGCTAATTATGTCTTTTTGTGCAGTTTGGGGCCATGGCTAAAAATATCTGGGTATGAGGATTGACACCAGCACGTGTAGAAATAGGTCAAGATGAAATCTTACTGACAGTGAGCAGTCACTGCCCAGAGGAGCATTTTCTGTCTTTCAGATGCTCCTGTCTCATTCTCATCCCATCATCCCAGTTTATGCTCTTGTTACCTTGTGCTGTCACGATTGCGATCGTCTCTTAACGTGTGGCTTTGCTTCTAGTCTTTTTCCGCTCTAAAGCATAGATCTATGTCAGATCAATCTCCCTGAAACATTTCTTTCACCACACATCCATTAGCTGTGCGATTTAACCTTCCTAAGCCTCTGTCTCCTGGTCAGAAAATGAGATTGGTTTCAGTTTATTTTCCAATTCTAGAATTCTTATTCTATGCCACTCTAAAGCGGCTTTTAAAAAAAAAATTAACAAACTGTATTGAATGTGAATGTGCCAGGCATGGCACAATGCCTTGGAGATGTCAGGACAGAGAAGACAGAGCCCTGGACCCCCACCCTGTGGTGCCCAGTCACAAGCCGTGGTCTCACATATTGAATTTTGCCCCCTATGCTTAAAACTTTTTAAAGTATGTAGACCCCATTTACATATGTTTGTTTATTTCTTAAATCTACACATTTATAGCTAAATGTTAAAAAAGAGTAAAAATTTAAATGGTGATATAAAGATGAAATAGTATTTATAAAATAAAATTCTAATTTTATTATTAAACGTGCAGTAAATGTTTTGCTCCCTCTAAAAATGTTAATAACATTTTAGTGAGGTCAGTGTGATTAAATTGGCTTCATTAACTTGGAAAATCTTGAGTTAAGTTTTCTGAGATAGAAATACAAAGGTCTAGTATTACATTCAGTTCATTTAGACATTAATTTTCAATGACTGTCAGAGCTCAAAAAGGTATCTGGCAAAAATATATTAATCTGGATGAAAGGAGTGACTGTTATTAGCTGAACTAATGAAATTGTGATACTTGTGTCTTTTTCATCTTTTTATTGCAAAAAATCTTAAGTACACACAAAATTAGAGTGACCAAAATGATGAGCCTTGTATACATGTAACCCAACTTCCACAATGACTAACTCATGGCCAATCTTGTCTCCTCTCCATCTTTTCCTTTTCCCTCAACTAGATCATGTTGAAGCAACCCAGGTTGACATAATTCTTTCTACACATTTCATTATGTATTTTTAAAAGATGAGGACTCATAAAAAGAAAATCCGCATGCAATTTTTTTGCTTTTGTATTTCTTAATTAATGTGTAATCCAATGGACACAAAAAAGTTTACTGAAGAAAGCAAGTTGTGTCCCCATACTGGCCAGCCACCAAAAAAAAAAAAAAAGGAAGAAAGAAAACAAATTGTATAAATTGCTTAAAATACTAGGAAGTTGAGGGTGACAGCAAGGTAACAGGAAGAAGATTGAAAAGTCCACTGTACAAGTGCTGGGTAGCGCTTGCTCAGAAGTACAGTCACAAAAATGAGTGACAGCACAACGTCTGGGGATGTAAACAAATTTCTCTAAAAACACATTTATGAAACAGACTGTGTATGTCAGTAGAATTTGATTCAAGTCCATTATAATATGTCCAAGGTACTAGACAGCCCACCATGAAAGAAGATTAACACTTTTCTTTTCTTTGCTCCTTTTCAACTGTAAAATGCACACCAAAGATGTTGACTAGAGCATTGTTAAGCTCGGCACATACAGAGGAGCACGGGGAAGGGGGGAAACAGGAACTAAAAAAATCTAATGAAGTTTTCCTTGATCCCAAGATTTCAGCAGGAATTTTAAAGTCCACAATATGTATTCATGTCATGTGCATCAAGACATCCAGAGTATCACAGCCTGTCCTTAAGTCTGTAAAAGACCACGTCACTAAGTTAGAACAAAAGCTTTGATATTTTTATTATTTCTTTAATAATAAAATTTAAAAATTTCAATTTCGTTATTCATTTTTTCCCCCCAAAAGCAGATCTGCTGGTGGGCTGTCTGTAGGCTGCCAGACTATGTGAACAGGTGGTAGCAGCACTACTTCTCAGTTCCCTTCAGAAGCTCCTTTCTTCAGTTAATTGGTTGTCCTGAGTTTGTTTTGTGTTTCACATTCTCAGAAAAATACACCGAGGTGGTTGCCATTCTATGGCTCCCACACAGACACTGATGACCATAAGGTGGTGAGAGATGTTGGAGATCTGCAGGGAGGATGGGGGTAGGCGTGACAGATGACCTGCATTAACTCACAGGGTGGGGAGAGCTATACCTTGTGCACAAGCACACTGATAACTGGGATGCCAGAGATGGCTGCCGCCTGCTTGCTTTGCAGGTGGGTGATGCAGGCAGCTTCGATTTGGTCTGGCTCACCATGTCCTCGGACCATAACTCTGTCTATTCAAGGCAAAGTTGATGTTTCAACAATGGCTAAGAAAGTAACTGCTTTTTGAAAGCAACTTGTTTCTGGAGTATAAATTTTGGTAACAATATCTGGAAATATTTGCATCTCTTTGTGGTTTTATTGCCAAAAAATGATGTAAGTGTGTGTCCTAGAAAAACTCATATCTACATGTTTACAAAATCTGAACACCGGATTTTATAGCCCATTTGAAAATATTTGAAAGGAAGATTTCTAATGAGTTTTGAACCTTTTGAATTCGTCTGAAAGAACGAGAGAATGACATTGAAGAATCTGGAGATTTCAGAGCCGAACTCCAACAAAAATGTCCCTTCACTAGTAAATGGAACTGTAACATCATGGTGGTATTTCTGGCCATGCTGTCCTCCCACGCCCAGTTCCCAGCCCCGTGATGTCAGTTGGTCCCTGTGGGACAGCTGCATGGGAGCAGCTTGTCACTGCCTGCCCCAGGGAATAGGCCACAGGGTGGCCTCCAAGCCTTCCCCACCAACCCCAGCGCTCACACTCTCGGTTCCTGGTGCCTCCTCAACTTGCTTGCCCTCCTGGTTCTGGAACATGGTCTGCCTGAAGGTGAACAGCCCACCCAGCCCACTCAGTCAGCCTAGCCCTGCAAGCCATCAACCTGCAAATCATCTCAGACTCCCCAGCAGGCCAAGAGGACCCCCTTGAAGGCAGGGGGTCTCCATGGTTGCCCTTCCCCCAGGCAGCCCAGAAGTAATCACTTCACCTCCACCTGGACTGGTTTCTACAAAATCCCCATACTGATGCCTGCCCCAAACAAGGTGCTGCTCTGCACTTAATTTCCCAGTGCAAGTGTATTGGCTCAACTTCTGAAGAAGTTCTCAAGAGCAACACAGCTTCTGTGCAGCAGATCTTTAGCTCTGCCGACAGTGCCCGGCCTACGGGTCTTTGTCATCGTCTGAAGCACCCCCACCCCTGCCAACCTCTCAATGCCCAAAGGTTGCAGACGAAGACCTCACATTGGATATTTGAAAAGTGCATTACTAATAAGCATATTAGTAATAAATATGTTAGTAATAAGTATATTAACAGCTGCTTGTCGTAGAAATGGGTGAGAAATAAAGGCCACTTGCCATCTTGTAAAAGAAAGTCATGTAACTCATCTTTCCATGGGATATTGTTTAAATTACTTTGCTGTGAGTTGACTTGCAAACCACTGTGTGGTCCAAAAGAGTTTCATGCTCACATTCCATCTTATTCCAATGTATTGTAAAGATTCTATAATACATTAAATATGTTACTCTTACAAAATTAAGAGCTGGCGGTTTCTCATCTCAGCACTATTGACACTTTGGACCAGATAATTTTTTGAGGGGGGTGCTGTTCTGTGCACTGCCGGTTGTTTAGCAGAATCCCTGGCTTCTACCCACTAGATACTAGATGCCAATAGCACCCCACACCCCCCCTGCCTTGCCCCAGCTGTGAAAAGCAAAAATATCTCTAGATGTTGTCAAACATCCCTCAGGGGGCAAAATTGCCCCCACTGCACTGTCAGCTCCAGGAGGGCAGTGAACTTTGCCTATTTGTGCACCCTCAAGTCCCTGAGGCCTAGAACAATGGCTTGCCCATGGAAGGCAATAATTACTTTTTGAATGATTGAATGGATATTATCTTAGTCATTTTTATTATGGCAGGAAAAACAAGGCTTTTCTCATTGAGTTTTTGGACATTTGTCTTTGTGATTAAGCAACAAATCTCAGAAACTGTGAACATTTATCTTTAAGTTTAGTAAAATTTTGTCCAGTACCAGATTGAATATTGCTGAAAAAATTTATTGTAGAAGCTTGACTTTGTTTTTTGGAGAGTTAGTTTTGAATTCTTATCATGGCTCCATACCATTAACAGCTAACATCTCGAGGCACAATATACATTTAGGATTAGGCTCATTATTAATGATAGTTGAGATAAATCTATTTTCAAACGACCTTGTCGATAGCTATCTTTTTATTAATCGACTTTGTCTAATCAGATAGTTATTTTTATCTCGTAGTAAAGCTAGAGAGTAGAAGCCCGAGCCCTGCTATATTGTCCTTGTTCACTGGTATTTCGGTATTTTAGTATCGACTCCTGTCTGTAGTGCTTTTGCAGGACTCTTTTAAAGCCAGTTATCCATTATTGTCAGGCTTATTTTTATTTACACTAGAGAATGTGTATCAGTTAGTTTTCTGTTGCTTATAATGGGATGCCTGAAACTGGCTCATTTATAAAGAAAATGACATTTATTTCTTACAATTTTGGAGGCCAGGAAGTCCAGGTTCCAGAGGGCACATCTGGTGAGGGCCTTCTTCCCGATGGGGGCTCTCTGCGAGGTCCTGTGGTGACACCGGGCATCACAAGGTGAGGAGGGCAAGGGCATTTTGGAGCGCTCTCCTTAGAGAGCCACCAGTCTACGACCAAGAAAATCCATTAAACCGTTAACCTGTTACTCCATGAATGGATCAATCCACCCACAAGGGAAAAGCCCTCAGGATCCAACCACTTCTTAAAGGCTCCACCTTTCAAATACCATTATCAGATTTCCCACCTTCTTGGCATTGTTAAGCTGGGGATCAAGTTCCCAGCACATGAACTTCTGGGGGACACATTCAACCCATAGCACTCACGTCACCAGTGAATCCACCTAACCGGACGCTCATGGGCAGCACCACCTGACAACAGCCTGAGAGCTCCTGATCAGGTAAGGACACCTCTCACGACTCCTTCAGGTGGCAGAACTCTTACTCTTGTCAGCGTACCTTCCACATCGGGACAGGAGCCCCTTTTACCTAGGGCTGGCGGTGTGAGCATGTTCTGCCCACGGTGTGTGAGGAGAGTTCCCAGCGAGGACGCTGAGAGGCGTGTCCCCCCTGTGCCGCCCCTTGTCGCCTGCGGGGAGAGCTCGGGCAGGAGCGACCCACGGGAGCAGGCAGTGCAGGAGAGCGCTCGACCCGCGTCTCCCTCGTCTGTCTCGTGTTCAGACACTGAGACGTTGTGGGCAGTTGTTACAGCAGCTGGCCTGAATTACACTGACTAACCCACTGGTTATCTGTTAGTATTCCCCATCTAAATTCTCCAACGGAGCTCTCAGTTAGTTACCGTGTCTCAGTGCCATTCCTCTGAAGAATGTCCTACAGCAAAAGGAAACTCAATGTTACATGGAAAGACTGTCCTTAAGGTTGTGTAGCTCAATAAGTCCTATTGTATCGCCTGCTAAGAATCTATAGGGGAAACGTGTCCCTTGCCTGGGTACCTGATCTGCTCTTACTTCAGGGACACGCTGCATCTTGCAACTGATTGTGTTTTCCTCAGTGCCAAAGTTGTGGCCCAGATTTAGTAACTATATGTGCTTTGTGATACATATTATTCTGACTTTCTACCTTTATTTTCCTGTCACCACAATTTCTTACTAAAAAATAAAAATAATGCCCTTTTAAAATATTTCTTTAAATGCCTCAAATATTTTTTTGTTGAAGAAGCTTATACATATAAATTAAAAAATATGGAGACTTTTACTGTTTTCTGATTTGTCATATTTTTCAGTTAGTTTATAAACTCTTTGAGAGTTCATAACATGTCTTCTAGATTTTTGGTAGCACTCCCCATAGGATTTAAGAAATATTTCTTGGTTGCTTGATTAATAAAGATGTAGTATATGTGTTGACTTAAAGTGTTCAGTTTAAAATAGAATTAGATGAGAGGAATGGAACAGAGGAACTTAGGAAAACGGACATTAGATACTAAACAACTAGAGATCAGAAACAGATCTACAGGTAGATTTGCATGGTGCACATGCCTTTTGTTATATAAGCTTTTCTATATTTCAGTTCAAAGGATCTCAGCATGTATTGCAATTTTTTTTGTAAGAAACATTTTATTTCTCAGTCAAATGTAGACATTGAGAAGCATAAGAGCATAAGTTATTCTTTAGGCAGGACATAGTGTTTACAGATTCACTGAAAATCTTTTAATGAAGTAAAAGGAAAATCAGTGAGATAGCACAAGGGATATTTTTTTATTAATGTAAGAATTATTTAAGTATATTTTTCCCTAGTGCAGATACAAACATTATCATGTCTGTAGAGAAGCAGATACTGAAGCACCACATTGTGATTTTTTCACAGATGATGGCAGTGATGAATTACACACCAGCTGAAGTGCAGATAAGGCTATGGCATTAGTCCTGTCTGAAGCCCACCAGTGTTCCATGGGAAGCCTGCTCTGCATCCTAAAGGCCGCCAGTCCAGACAGAGGTGCTGTAAACCACCTCCACACTTCCCTACAGATCTGTGATGTTCCCCTGGCATGGGCTTGAAAAATTACCGTGGCTCTGGGTCCTTATTAACCAGTCACTCCTCAAAGAGCTGTCTGCAGTTTTGGAAAGATATACTCTGCTTGAAAGCATGATTTTTATGGATGAATAGTCAGAAAACATAAATATATACTATGTATATATATGTGTGTAACATTTGCTTATTTGTGAACAAATACATGTTTATTTGAATTTGTTTGTTTAAAGTATCTTTTTGTCTATTGTAATATGTTGTGCCCAGAAGGGTGTAAAATTCAGGAATAAAGTGCTCATCCATATATCATACAGTATATAAAGTATTAAATTGTTTAGTATAGATCTGAGGCATTCTTGGGGAAAAAAAAAGAAGGTAGCCCTTTGTTAAAATTTCACAGTGCTTCTCGCTTTCTGCAGCCTTACCAAAGTTCTAAATCCTTTTTCTAGCATGTGTGAGACTCTTCAAAAATGCTTTCTTCAGAGATCAAAATTCTAAATTTCCAATTGGTTTAAATACATTTTATAATTCATCCTGCAGCTGTTGGAGCTATAAGGGAGTAAAACGAGAACTGCTTTTTAGGGCGTATTTCTCAACAGAGCAGTTTTGAAAATGAAACCAAATCTTCATGCTCCATTTGACATTGGAATTCAAAGTTATTCTTATAGGCTCCACTGAAGTCAT